AAGGATGGAAGTAGCAAAGGTGATGAAGAATGTGAAGATACCCTTGTGGGTGAGGAAGAGAGAAGGGCACACAGAGGGCAGCAAGACAAGGCCTTTGGCTGCTTCTGGGAGGCCTTGCCAAAACTTCCCACCTGTGTTCTGCAGTCACACCCTTCTCTGAATCTTGCACTCCAGGCTGTGCACAGTTTAGGGATAACGGCCCTCTCCAGCTACAGCCCAGTTTGCCAGTGACTTTCATCCAACCATATCCACCAGGCTGCATCCCATCCTTTCTTTGAAAGGGCCCCAGCTTCAGAGTTTTGCACGTTAAGTATGTGACTTAAAGATCCTAAAGATAGGATTTCTGGTGGTCACAAGACTGTGAACTCCTAACTAGGGTCTAGGTTTGTTTTGAAATAATATTCTGGTCTACACTTGAGTAAGTAAAATGGTGAATGATCTATGAGAGTGATTGGTTCAAGGAATATGCCTCATCAATTTTTAAACTGAAAATATGGGCAAGGGGCAGAGAATGACCAAGTAATGTTCTGTTTTTGTTTTTTTTTTTAAGACAGGGTCTCGCCCTGTCACCCAGGCTGGAGTGCAGTGACACAATCATGGCTCACTACACCTTCAGCCTCCTGGGCTCAAGCAGTCCACCTCAGCCTCCTGAGTAGGTGGGACTACAGGTGAACGCCACCATGCCTGGATAGTTTTTTTTTGTGGAGACGGTCTTGCTGTATTACCCAGGCTAGTCTTGAACTCCTGGCTTCAAGCAATCCTCCTGCCTCAGCCTCCAAAAGTGCTGAGATTACAGGCATGAGCCACTGCACCTGGCCTGTATTTTTTAAAATTTCCTTTCCGAACAATATAATAAAGGTGTCTTCTTCTAAATATGGGTTATTCGTAGCCTATTTTAAATCGTAAGCTGGCTTCTGACAAGCAAATTCCCAACAGAGTCTTAGCTTGGCTTCTCTCCTGTCCAGTCCTGGTATGTACAGTAAGTGCAAACTTATTTTAATAGTAGTTTACATTAAATGTAATTTTAAAAGTAGATCACCTGTGTGAAAGAAGCATTTTCTCAAACAAGAGATGTATCCTTAGATCCCGTACATTAGCTTGGTTGTATTGGAAGTCAAGCTGTAAATGGAATTTAAGCACCATATATATAGAGAGAGAGAGAAACAGGTTCAAAACCCTGGGCTCAAGTGATACTCCCGCCTCAGCCTCCCGAGTAGCTGGGATTACAGGCCCATGCAACTGCAACCAGCTGCCTTATTATTGACCTGCCCTCTTCACTGTAAAAACCAGGAAACATATCACCATGTCCAAGATTTTGTGAAAAACCTATTTTATGTCTCTCAAATGGATCATGCTTCATTCAGAACCTCTGAGTCCTTGAGACCTCCACGTTCTGGGCGGAGCAGGGAAGCCTGAACTTTAAGAAGGCCATGCGGCTAAATGGCTTCCCTGAGGCATGTCTCTCCTGGGAAGGCATTCCCTACCCCAGATCCTGCAGCCTTTCATCCCGAGGCCATTAGACTCTCCAGGTGCACCCGCTTCAAAGTGCAGGTACCGCACAGCGCTCCTGATCTGGACTTATCTGAATTGCACATTCCCCGAGGGTGCTGTTTGATGTGCTTGATTGTGGAATGAAAGCCAAATAAAGGAATGAGAGGGCCTGTTTATTTCCTCATTTTTAGTGCTTTTCCTCAGGGCCCTTCTATGTCTGGAGAAGGAATTTATGAAAAAGCCTGGGATACCACCTAAGCGGAAAACACCAGCATCTACTTACAATTATATTAACTCTGGCATCCATGAGATCCATGAGCTGTTGGCCTCAGGCAAAGTAGTCTGTGTCCCTAAAGAACTCTATGGATAGTCAGCATGGTTGTCCATGGCTCATGCCTGTAATCTCAGCACTTTGGGAGGCCGGAATGGGAGGATCACTTGAGCCCAGGAGCTCAAGACCAACCTGGGCAACATAGTGAGACCTTGTCTCTACAAAAAAAAAAAAAAAAAATTAGCCTGGCATGGTAGCATGCACCTGCAATCCCAGCTACTCAGGAGGCTGAGGCAGGAGGATCATTCCAGCCCAGGGGTTTCAGGCAGCAGTGAGCTGTGATCGCACCACTCCAGCCCAGGTGACAGAGTGAAAGCCCATCTCTGATAGATAGAAAGATAGATAGCTCTATGGTGGAGGAAAGTGACACCACCCTGGCCTCACACTTTCTCAGCTGTGTCATCAGCTGTGTCATCAGCATCCTCTCTTCCTGGAGGAGGGTGACAGGGCCAGTGCAGTTCTGAGTTGCTCTGATAGCCCACTGCTTCTCAGTTGAGTGGCCAAGGCTGGGAATTTAGAAAGGACCCTAGTCGTAATAACATAGGTGGCTTCCCCGCACCCACCCCCCCCCTTTTTTTTTTTTTTTTTACCTGAGACTGGAGTCTTGCTCTGGAGTCGCCCAGGCTGGAGTGCAGTGGCCAGATCTCAGCTCACTGCAAGCTCTGCCTCCTGGGTTTACGCCATTCTCCTGCCTCAGCCTCCTGACTAGCTGGGACTACAGGCGCCCACCACCTTGCCCGGCTAGTTTTTTATATTTTTTTTTAGTAGAGACGGGGTTTCACCGTGTTAGCCAGGATGGTCTCGATCTCCTGACCTCGTGATCCGCCCGTCTTGGCCTCCAAAAGTGCTGGGATTACAGGCTTGAGCCACCGCGCCCGGCCCCCCCCCTTTTTTTTGAGACAGAGTCTCACTCACTCTCGCCCAGGCTGGAGTGCCGTGGCGTGATCTCTGCAACCTCTGCCTCCCAGGCTCAAGTGATTCTCCTGCCTCATACTCCCGGAGTACAAGCACATGCCACCACATCCAGCTGATTTTTTGCATTTTTGGTAGAGACAGGCTTTCACCATGTTGGCCAGGCTGGTCTGGAACTCCTGACCTCAGGTGATCCACCAGCCTCAGCCTCCCAGAGTGCCGGAATTACAGGCATAAGCCACCGTGCCCAGCCATCCCCCACCGCCTTTTTATTTTTAACAGATGGGGAAACTGAGGCTGAGATTGAAAGTGATTGAGTGACTTGTCCACTGTTAGCAGCATGCCAGTGGCAGAGGCAGGAATAGCTCCCAGCATTCATTCCTGACTCCTAGCCTAGCAATCTGGTGATGAAACAGGGTGTGGTGAACAATGCATTGAGACTTTCAATGCATTGAATCTCCATTCAAAAAGAAAGGGTCCCCTGCAAGACAAGGACAGATTGTCCAGGGTGCCAGAACTTCTTGAACTGCCAAGGAACTTGCAGTATACTGAAGATTTTACTGAAGTTGTTTTTGGTACTGTTTGGTGCTAAATACAAGGAATTGGTTTGTTGTAAAAGCTATAGGGTGAGACTGCCCTCTAGTGGCCCAGTGGAGCCATTGGTCTAGCTGTGTTCTGGGCAATGTTGCTTTCTCACGCCCCGTCAATGTAGAGTGATTATTCCTATGGAAAGGAATTTCAATTTTATTCTTTCTCAAGCACTGTGGCCAATATTAACTCTATTGATCTCTAAGCACTAGCCATCATTTGCCCATCTTATAGAAGGCTGGTTTTGCCTTCTATACATACACACATTAGAAGTGTCTTACTTCTCTAACAAGATTCAGGCTCCTAAAAGCCAGGGTATGCATGCATGCATGTATGTATGTATGTATGTATTTTGTGAAGACAGGGTCTTGCGCTGTCACTCAGGCTAGAATGAAGTGGTCCAATCACAACTCAATCTCTACCTCTTGGGCTCAATCAAACCTCCTGCCTCAGCCTCCTGAGTAGCTGAGACTACAAGCATGCCCTGCCACACCGAGCTAATTTTTCTGTTATTTTTTAGATATGGGGTCTTGCTATGTTGCCTAGACTGGTCTCGAACTCCAGGCAGGCTATATCTTAAGTCTTGTTTTTCCACAGCTTCTACCTTGCTGTCACCTTAGCTGGACATGGAATTAGAAGGTTCTTTGGGATGGAAAGGAGTCCTTCCCCCACCTCCCCCAAAAAGAATCCCATCACTTCTCATTTGTTCCTAAAACATTCTAATCTCATCTCTCTGATCGGTAGTTCCCCAAATGGTTGAATCATCTGAATCCCCCAGAAAGCATACACAACTCAGTTTCCTGGGCCTGACTCCAGCCCTGCTCAATCAGTCTCTGTGGTTTGAGCCAGGAAATCTGCTTTACAAACTTCCCAAGTGGCTTTTGATGTGTAGCCAGGTCTGGCAGCCAACTGCTTCAAAACCCCATTTACAATTATGTTTCACAGCTCCCACCACCGACAGTGTCTCCAGAGGTCTTCAGCTTCTGTCACTTATTAAAATTAACCATTTTGAGACTCATTCAGAAATACTCAATATATTCTTCTAACTGGGTGACATGGGAAGGAAAAAGGAACCACATGAGATGGACCAAAGGCATTTGCTTTGGTTGCCAGTGACTCTGAAACAGGAAATACTGAAATCAGTACCTCTGTACTGACCGGGCAGGTTGTTAATGTGTAGGTCGTTTTCAGTATTTGGGCTGGATAGGAAGACAAAAGTTTGTTAAGTAATCAATTATGTATTTTCCCCTATTATAAGTCATCTGACCTCACAATTACTATACAAGGTAGGTGAAATTGTCCTCTTTAAAAAAAAAAGTTTTTTAATTGACATAATAATTGTACATATTCGCGGGGTACATAGTGATAATACATACAAGGTATAGTGATCAGATCAGGGTAATTAGCATATCCATTATCTCAAACATTTATCACTTCTTTGTATTGGGAATATCCTCCTCCTAGCTATTTGAAACTATGTATTATTGTTAACTCTAGTTATCGGTCCCCTTCTTTATAGATGGGAAAATTGAGGGTTAGGAAAGTGAGGTAACGTCCCTGATGTCACATAAGTTGGTAACTGTCAGATTCTGCATTTGATTACAGGCCTGAATGCCAAGGCCAGCTTTGGAAAGGTAAGAGGACCAGAGGGCCAACCTGCTCTTTTTTACTCTGGCAGGCCAAGCGAGCGGTACAGCGGGGAGCTACTGCAGTCATCTTTGATGTGTCTGAAAACCCAGAAGCTATTGACCAGGTAAACTCCTCAGGCCATGCCAACACTGCAGCCTCCCTGAGAAAGGCACTTCCTTTAGTGAGCTTGGCTTGTCCCGGTTATGTCACCCTCATCTCAGGGCGTTTGCTCTTGTCTTCTGAAGTTAGATGTCCATGTTTAGGCATAATCCCCAAGGGAGGTGTACTGGGCGAGGTTAAGAGCCAGGGAATTGGGGCACAGGAGGCATTTTCTCTTTTTTGCCCCCGAGACAGTCTTGCTCTGTCGCCAGGCTGGAGTGCACTGGCACAATCTCAGCTCACTGCAATCTCCACCTCCCGGGTTAAAACGATTCTCCTGCCTCAGCGTCCCAAGTATCTGGGATTATAGGCATGCGCCACCACGCCTGGCTAATTTTTGTATTTTTAGTAGAGATGGGGTTTCACCATGTTGGCCAGGCTGGAACTCTTGACCTTGTGATCCATCTGCCTCGGCCTCCCAAAGTGCTGGGATTACAGGCGTGAGCCACTGCGCCGGGCTCATGGGGCATTTTCTAAGACCTTTCTGGCCCTTCTGCTTGCCCAGTCCATCCCAAAACAAGCGTTATTCTCAGCCTTGCTCTTTTGGGAACTCCAAGGCTGTAATGTTGGAAGAGCTGGAGGATTCCAGACAGGTATTCAATGTTCCTTCCCTCCAGCCTTTCTTTCTACTGCTTCTTAAAGTAAGCACACCTTTTAACCAGAGCCCTCTCTTCTTCCTTAGCTGAACCAGGGCTCGGAAGACCCACTCAAGAGGCCCGTGGTGTATGTGAAGGGTGCAGATGCCATTAAGCTGATGAACATCGTCAACAAGCAGAAAGTGGCTCGAGCAAGGATCCAGCACCGCCCTCCTCGAGTGAGCCTCCACACTGTTTGGCACAGGCTCGGGGCCTTCTCTGCTACTACCTGTCCCTTTATTTCCCTTGGCCTTTCATTCCTATCTCTCTAAAATGCTGGCAACCCCAGGTTCCTACAGGCTTAGATCACCTACTGGACTCAAGGCCAGGGAGAAATGTTACTCGTGTTCCTTTATAGCGAATTTGAAAAATCCTACCAGAAATAGATACCTTTGTGCTAAGATGTCTCTGGCCTCTTCCACCTGGCATTCCCTCTTGGCAATCTCTCATCGTTTCTTTTCCATCCCATCTCCCTCTGAAAGGCAAACTGAGGAGGACTGAAGGGATGGGGCACCCAGCACCTGCCTTCTTCAATCTGACTTAGACACTAAAAAAAAGGCTTGTATTTCCTTCTTCCTGTAAAATAGATTACCTTATTGAAACTCCCCAAGTTAATTTAAGTCTGGAAAAGTTAGCTTTCAACTGGGATTGAGTTCGATGGCTAATGAATAGCATCTACATCTCTTAAGTATGTGGAAGAGACACTACTGGCCACTAACTCTTAACCGGCCTCTTCTGCTCGAACCTCAAGCTGAAGAATTCCAGGAACCTTGGGCTGGTGCCCTATATTGGTGTTATTTCCTCCTCACAAATATTGGGACATTCACAATGTAGGATGATGTTTTCCCATGCACAGCATAGCCGGATACATGCAGCTTCCACTTTGCAAAGCTCTATTCCCATTGGCCAAATGGAGGTCCCAGATAAGGTGGCTGCGAGGTTTTAGGAGGCAGTGAGGAAAAGGTAAGAACTAAAAGTAGAGGGAGTTTGCTGAACTGACTTGCTGGCTTCTTTTTAAAGGAAAAAAAAGCACTTTGGTAAATATGACTCATTGTAGTGGAAGCTGATATTTGTGGAAGCAGCATACAATTTTCTGAGTTGTTGTAAACCATTAATTATATGGTTAGTAATCACTGTTCCCTCAAAACATGACACTTACTCTTTTGTCCTATAAATGTGATTATTTGTGTTTATTTGGAAGGGCCTTTCTTACCAGTTACAGCCAACTTTGCAGTATTCCACGGGGAGCCAGGCTTTACCGACAGAGTCCCCTTGGCTCTTGGGGGGCCTGGCTGAGATCGCCACAGGCATCCCCCTGGGCCACACCGAAGGCACTACATGGGCCTAGGGAGCACACCATGTACATGTGAGCAGAACCCCAGGAGTTTCCTGCAAATTGAGGGGAAACTCATCCCAGTCACCCCATCTTTATCCTGACCAAGCCAAGATAGCCCATGTGCCGATTACCAGGCTGCAGAGAGGCTGTGACTCACTGTGTCTGTGTTCCGTTCCAGCAACCCACTGAATACTTTGACATGGGGATTTTCCTGGCTTTCTTCGTCGTGGTCTCCTTGGTCTGCCTCATCCTTCTTGTCAAAATCAAGCTGAAGCAGCGACGCAGTCAGGTAGGGCCTCTATGTGTAACCCATGAGCAGTAACCCCTGTTGCCCTGACACTGGGGAAAACCAGGACTCTTACCACCTTATTTTTTGATGGTGCAACATGGAGCCTCACAGCTGTGGACTCTGAGCTCTGCAGCCTGTTCCCAGTGGCCTAGAAACAGCAAAGATGGAAAAAAAGTAAGAGCAAACTAGGCCAGGCACCATGGCTCACGCCTGCAATCCCAGCACTTTGGGAGGCTGAGGCAGGCAGATCACTTGAGCTCACGAGTTCAAGACCAGCCTGGTCAACATGGCAAAACCCTGTCTCTAGCAAAAATATAAAAATTATCTGGGCATGGTGGCACGTACCTGTAGTCCTAGCTACTTGGGAGACTGAGGTGGGAGGATCACTTGAGCCTGGGGGACAGAGGTTGCAATGAGCCATGATCGTACCACTGCATTCCAGCCTTAGTAACAGAGTAAGACCCTGTCCCCCAAAAAAAAAAAAAAGAGAGAGAGAGAGAACGCAAAACTTACAGCCCAGTGCCTTCTCTGTTCTAAAAGGGCTAGTCCTACAAAGGCTGAGCATTAGGAATATCCCCAGCAGGTGTTTCGAAGGAAGTGTTTATTTTATTTTTTTATTTATTTGAGACAAGATCTCACTCTGTCACCCAGGCTGGAGTGCAGTGGCATGATCTCGGCTCACTGCAATGTCCACCTCCCAGGGTCAAGTGAATCTCGTGCCTCAGCCTCCCGAGTAGCTGGAATTACAGGCACGCGACTAATTTTTGTATTTTTAGTAGAGATGGGATTTCACCATGTTGGCCAGGCTAGTCTCAAACTCCTAACCTCAGGTGATCCACCTGCCTTGGCCTCCCAAAATGCTAGGATTACAGGCATGAGCCACCGTGCCTGGCCCAAAGAAAGTGTTTAAATCAATGTTAATAAATATTATAAACACTCCACAGGCCTAGAATATGTGCTGTGGCAGTCTGAATTTTGAGTGCTTTCTCAGAAGTCTATTCTGGCGTGATTGAGAAGTGTTTGCCTGTCCCAGTGCATCAAGTAGCGCCCTAGAGCCTTGGTCCTCAGATAGGATCTGTGGTCCAGCAGCAACAGCAGCACCTGGAAGCCTGATAGAAATGCAGGGTCTCAGGCCCCACTTCAGACCACCTACACAGTATACCAGGCTCTCCGGGTGATGCTTGATGAACAGTAGCTGCTGTAGCACTGCAGCTACCACATCACTTTGTGCTTGTAGGAAGGAGAAACTCAGGGGTGGAGGGTGGTGAGAGGATAAGCAGAGATCTGGACCTGCAAATGTATGGCAGGGTCATGTCTCAGGGGAGAGATGGTGGATCCTGGAAGGCAATCTGTAGAGAAGAGAATCACCAAAGTTCTCATGAAGGTTAAGCGACCAACCCCAACAGGATGATGGCTTGTGTTTTTTGAGCGCAGCCTATCTGCCAGGTGCTAAGCACTTACACATTGTCTGTCTACTATCACCACCTCTTTCAACAGAAAGAGGAGGGACCTTTGGCATAGAACAGGTTGATAACTCAGGGTCTGGCAGAGTTAGGAGGCAGCAAGTCCAGGTAATTGGAGGAGACCCCTGCCTTCAAATCAGAGAGACCGCTGCTAGTCTTGCCACTTGGGAAAAGCCTAGGTTGATGTCGTGGACGCCCCATGCGTCTGGAGAATATGTGCTATAGCAGTCTGAGTTTTGAGCGACTTCTCAGAAGTGTTCTGGCGTGGTAGAGAATTGTCTGCCTGACCCAGTGAATCGAGTGTCATGTCCCTGGGGTGACTGCCACTGTCATATGTACTGAACCCTCACACAGACCACATTCTGCCATGCAGAATTCCATGAACAGGCTGGCTGTGCAGGCTCTGGAGAAGATGGAAACCAGAAAGTTCAACTCCAAGAGCAAGGGGCGCCGGGAGGGGAGCTGTGGGGCCCTGGATACACTCAGCAGCAGCTCCACATCCGATTGTGCCATCTGTCTGGAGAAGTACATTGATGGAGAGGTAATGGCAGAAGCAGACCCATCCTGGGTGGGGAAAACATAGGCAGGTCAGCAGAGGTGCCCAAGACCTAGAAGGACAGGGCCCTGTGTTCCATCACACACATCAACTTTTAGAGTCGCTCTTCTGAAAATTCTGAGACTTAACTTGATACTTGACTGGGTGTTTTTACTTACAAAGAGACAGGATTGTATATCCCTCACTTTTCTTTCTTGTAGCTCTTTAAAAATTTTAGGCCTAGTATCATGCCTGTAGTCCTAGCTACTTGGGAGACTGAGGTGGAAGGATCAGCTGAGGCTAGGAATTCGAGGCTGCAGTGAGCTATTATTACACCACTGCATGCCAGCCTGGGCAACAGAGTGAGACCTTGTCTCTCTTAGAAAGAAAATTTCAGACCTTCAGAAAAGACTAGTACCATAGACGATATATGTTAAGGGCCTAGAATCATCCATGATGTACATTTTGCCACACTTGCTCACCCTCCCTCACTCTCCCTCTTTCTAGACAGATACATACATAAACATATTTGGGGGGTAGGGAGCAAACCACTTGAGAATTACAGACATTTGATGCCCCTTTGCTGAAAATATTTCACTGCTGCAGAGACTGTTGGATGGAAACGGAATTTTTGCAGAATAGAATAGTAGATTCTTACACAGACTCTGGATTCTAATCCTGGCCTGGGTGGATTCTAGTTTTGTGACCTTGGGCAAGTGATTTTGTTTTCTTGTGACATGGGCCCAACAGTGACCAGTATTCCAGGTGATAATGAGGGTTCCATGAGAAGATCCAGGGTAGACCCTTTGTCATTCTGTCAGGCACAGTGTTAGGTATGAACTGGAATATGGTGCTGGACAGGTCAGAAAATTGAAAGACAAAGTAAAATGAGCAAATCTGGAAGATGCTTAGGCTTAGGAATTCTGAAGGTGGTTCTATCCCAATAACTCCATCTGTCTAGATAGGTTGCTTTTCTTATAAACCATGTACCCCCATGGTGAGGTTCAGGGTCCAGTAAAGGAGGGGAGAGCAGAGCTTTGTCCCTTTGCTGCCCCATCTGTCAATCATGAGTCCCACTGTTGATGCAGAATATCTTGGGGTGTACCTGGTCCTCTCTCCATACCCCTAGGCCTCGCATCCTCACTAGCACAAGGCCTCAGCCTTCCCTGGGTGGAGGCATGAGTGTGCTTGCCCTCCTCCAACTACAGGAAAGATGCCTGTCTCTGTGCGTGCCCACTCCCTTAACACTGAAGACTGTGGTGGGGGCTGACTGCTGGCAGTTTCCTTCTCCCTACAACATATGGGTGGGCCCTGCTTCTAGGAAATTGAGCCCTAATTGGAGGTGGGGAGGAGAGCAGGAGGTGGGGAGGAGAGTGGGGAAGGGCACTGGCATGCTGTGCAGCGTTCCTTGGTCTGTGCTGGGCTCTGCAGGAGGACACACCTGCGAGGCTGAAGGCAGACCTGTGTCCCCTCTCTCCCTGCCCAGGAGCTGCGGGTCATCCCCTGTACTCACCGGTTTCACAGGAAGTGCGTGGACCCTTGGCTGCTGCAGCACCACACCTGCCCCCACTGTCGGCACAACATCATAGGTAACTGTCACCTGCCTTAGCCATTGCTGAAGAGTCAAGTTAGAGGACGCTGTCCCTACCAAGTGCCTAGCTAGAGTGTGACACACACCGCACGCTTGGGAGCGAGCAGAGCCACCGTGGCACTGCCCTCTGGACTTGGAGGCCTGGCAGCCCTGGGTTTTGGAGGTTGTCTGCACAACCCTTAGGAGAGCTTGGCATTAAGAATCACCCTGAGTTCAAGTTTGGGCTTCACATTAAGCAGCTTCCTGACCTCAGGCAAGACATCTGGCCTCTCCCAGGCCTGAGGCCCCTAATGTCTTTAGTGGCAATAACAGTAATGGTGGTTGCCCACACCCCGTACCATGGGGTGTTCCTAGGACCATGAGGGACGATTAGTGTGCAGTGGCCAGCTTGTGCTGTTGCTCCTGCATCACTGTGTCATTAAACAGGGATGGAGGGACACTGGCGCCTTTAAGTCCGATTCTTTTCTGCAGACTCCTGTGGTGCCCAGTCAGGCAGAGCAGTGGGGAGTTGGGAGTGGGACCTTTACAGGAGATGGGCCATTTCACACAGATAGGCAGGTCAACCTCTGCCGCTGCAGCTGAGTTTGGGGGCAGGGTTGTGAGAATGGGCACCTCGGCAGGTGACCAAGCCTGCTGCTTCAGCCTCTGCCCGTTTTAAAAATCCCTCTAGCCCCTGACACCAGTATGCTCAGCCCTGCCTACTCTGTTTCCTCCGCTTGTCCCCAGAACAAAAGGGAAACCCAAGCGCGGTGTGTGTGGAGACCAGCAACCTTTCACGTGGTCGGCAGCAGAGGGTGACCCTGCCGGTGCATTACCCCGGCCGCGTGCACAGGACCAACGCCATCCCAGCCTACCCTACGAGGACAAGCATGGACTCCCACGGCAACCCCGTCACCTTGCTGACCGTGGACCGGAACGGGGAGCAGAGTCTTTATTCCCCGCAGACCCCCGCCTACATCCGCAGCTACCCACCCCTCCACCTGGACCACAGCCTGGCCGCTCACCGCTGCGGCCTGGAGCACCGGGCCTACTCTCCAGCCCACCCCTTCCGCAGGCCCAAGTTGAGCGGCCGCAGCTTCTCCAAGGCAGCTTGCTTCTCCCAGTATGAGACCATGTACCAGCACTACTACTTCCAGGGCCTCAGCTATCCGGAGCAGGAGGGCCAGTCCCCGCCTAGCCTCACGCCCAGGGGCCCGGCCCGTGCCTTTACTCCCAGCGCCTTTCCTCCCAGCGGCAGTGGCAGCCTGCTCTTCCCCACAGTGGTGCACGTGGCCCCGCCCTCCCACTCCCACCTGGAGAGCGGCAGCACGTCCAGCTTCAGCTGCTATCACGGCCACCGCTCGGTGTGCAGTGGCTACCTGGCCGACTGCCCGGGCAGCGACAGCAGCAGCAGCAGCAGCTCCGGCCAGTGCCATTGTTCCTCCAGTGACTCTGTGGTAGACTGCACTGAGGTCAGCAACCAGGGCGTGTACGGGAGCTGCTCCACCTTCCGCAGCTCCCTCAGCAGCGACTATGACCCCTTCATCTACCGCAGCCGGAGCCCCTGTCGTGCCAGTGAGGCGGGGGGCTCGGGCAGCTCGGGCCGGGGGCCTGCCTTGTGCTTCGAGGGCTCCCCGCCCCCCGAGGAGCTCCCGGTGGTGCACAGTCATGGTGCTGGGCGGGGCGAGCCTTGGCCGGGCCCTGCCTCTCCCTCGGGGGATCAGGTGTCCACCTGCAGCCTGGAGATGAACTACAGCAGCAACTCCTCCCTGGAGCACAGGGGGCCCAATAGCTCTACCTCAGAAGTGGGGCTCGAGGCTTCTCCTGGGGCCGCCCCGGACCTCAGGAGGACCTGGAAGGGGGGCCACGAGGGGCCGTCGTGTGCCTGCTGCTGCGAGCCCCAACCCTCCCCACCCGGACCTAGTGCCGGAGCAGCTGGCAGCAGCACCTTGTTCCTGGGGCCCCACCTTTACGAGGGCTCCGGCCCGGCGGGTGGGGAGCCCCAGTCAGGAAGCTCCCAGGGCCTGTACGGCCTTCACCCCGACCATTTGCCCAGGACAGAGGGGGTGAAATACGAGGGCCTGCCCTGCTGCTTCTATGAAGAGAAGCAGGTGGCCCGCGGCGGCGGAGGGGGCGGCGGCTGCTACACTGAGGACTACTCGGTGAGTGTGCAGTACACGCTCACCGAGGAGCCCCCGCCCGGCTGCTACTCCGGGGCCCGGGACCTGAGCCAGCGCATCCCCATCATTCCGGAGGATGTGGACTGCGACCTGGGCCTGCCCTCGGACTGCCAAGGGACCCATAGCCTCGGCTCCTGGGGTGGGACGCGGGGCCCGGACACCCCACGGCCCCATAGGGGCCTGGGAGCAACCCGGGAAGAGGAGCGGGCTCTGTGCTGCCAGGCTAGGGCCCTGCTGCGGCCTGGCTGCCCTCCGGAGGAGGTGGGTGCTGCCAGAGCCAGCTTCCCTAATGCCCTCCAGGACACTCAGGAGTCCAGCGCCACGGCCACTGAGGCTGCAGGTGAGAGCAGGAAATGGCAGTAGGTCAGAGCAGGAGTTTCCATCAGGGTCGTCTCCTCATCTTCTGTCTTAAGCATTTTCTGAATGACTTCTTTTTTGCCCTTAGCTTTAAACATCGTCTGAGACTGAAGACTTCCAAGGGTTACTCCTCAGCCTGGCCCTCCTCCCTTGGAGTTCAGACCCTTTGAGCCCTCTGCTTCCACAATCTCAGGATCTCTCCCCCAAGATGCCTGCAGCCTGTCATGTCCACAGCAGTGCTCTCATTTCCCCCTCTGCCCTGCTCCCCATCCACATGCTCACACCAAAAACCTAGCACCAGCTGAGGGTAGTGGCTCATGCCTGTAATCCCAACACTTTGGGAGGCCGAGGCCATGGATCACTTGAGGCCGGGGGTTGGAGACCAGCCTGGCCAACATGGCAAAACCATGGAGTCTGTTCATGACTCCCAGGGCTGGGATATTATGTAGGAGCCACTTCGTAAACATTCTCATTACTCAGTACAAAAATTAGCCGGGGGTGGTGGCAGGTGCCTGCAATCCCAGCTGCTCGGGAGGCTGAGGCAGAAGAATCGCTTGAACCTGGTTGGCAGAGGTTACAGTGAGCCAAGATCAAGCTACTGCACTCCAGCCTGGGCGACAGAGCAAGACTCTGTCTCAAAAAAAAAAAAAAAAAAAAAAAAGGCCAGACCCAGTGGCTCACGCCTGTAATCCCTGCACTTTGGGAGGCCAAGGCAGGTGAATCACTTGAATTCAGGAGTTCGAGACCAGCTTGGCCAATATGGTGAAACCCCATCTCTAAAATACAAAAAAAATTAGCTGGGCATAGCGGGCGCCTGTAATTCCAGCTACTCGGGAGGCTGAGGCAGGAGAATCGCCTGAACCTGGGAGGTGGAGGTTGCAGTGAGCCGCGATCACACCACTGCACTCCAGCCTGGGTGACAGAGCAAGACTCCATCTCAAAAACAAAAAAAAGCCCAGGACCCATCTCTATGCCCACCCTGCCCCTTGCACTCCAGCCTCCTGGGCTTCTCAACCTGTCTGTGAAGGACCCCAGTTGTTTGTTTTTGCCTCAGTCCATGAAAATGAATTCCCAGAAAATGAAACTTAGCAAAAGACATGTAAGATACCAGTCCAGATATTTTATTATTAGATTCAACAGACATCAGATTGCTACAAGATTTCCAAATATGCTGCCTGAGTAATAAACTGTGGAGTCTAACACCTCTGAGTAGCACTGCAACAAGATCTACCTGCAAAGTACATCCCAAATATATCTACTTCTCTGCACCTTCATTGCTATCCCCTCAGTCCAGCCCCATTTTCCTCTCCAGGCAATAACCTCTGACTGGTCTGCTGTCACTGGTCTTGCTTTCTATTCCGCCTGGAGCCAGAGTGGCCTTTTTTGAAACATAAGTTGACATCATTGTACTGGAAAATCCTTCCATGACTTGCCATTACCTTTAAAATCTTAAAAATGGCCTGGCGCGGTGGCTCAAGCCTGTAATCCCAGCACTTTGGGAGGCCGAGATGGGTGGATCACGAGGTCAGGAGTTCGAGACCATCCTGGCTAACACGGTGAAACCCTATGTCTACTAAAAAATACAAAAAACTAGCCGGGCGAAGTGGCGGGCGCCTGTAGTCCCAGCTACTCGGGAGGCTGAGGCAGGAGAATGGTGTAAACCCGGGAGGCGGAGCTTGCGGTGAGCTGAGATCCGGCCACTGCACTCCAGCCTGGGCGACAGAGCAAGACTCCGTCTCAAAAAAAAAAAAAAAATCTTAAAAATGTTGGCCAGGTGTGTCGACTCACGCCTGTAATCCCAGCTACTCAGGAGACTGAGGCAGGAGAATTGCTTGAACCCGGGACACAGAGGTTGCAGTGAGCCGAGATTGCCCCATTGTGTTCCCACCTGGTGACAGAGCGAGACTCCGTCTCCAAAAAAAAAAAAAAGTTAACTTCTGGCCCAGTGCTTTGGAAGGCCAAGGCAGGAGGATCACTTGAGGCCAGGAGTTGGAGATCAGCCTGGGGAACAGAGAAGGAACCTATCTCTTTTTTTTTTTAATTAGCTTGGCAGGGTGACACATGCCATTAGTCCCAGATACTCAGGAGGCTGAGCCCAAGAGATTGGCTACTCACTTGAGCCCAAGGATTGAGGCTGTAGTCATGATCTCACCACTGCACTTAAACCTAGGCAACACAGCAAGACTCTGTCTCAAAAATAATAATAATAGATGTTAGCATCTCAGTTCTGTGTGATCCAGCCCCTGCCAGCCCATCTGATGAGCCGGTTCACTCTCCTTGCTTGCTCCTTTCACCCTCCGTGGCCCCGTCCCGTTCTCCCCATATGCCAAGCTTACTCCAGCTCCCAGACCTCTCCACTACTTCTGTCCTCCAAATCTTAGATTAAGCAACACTCCAGCCCCCTCTGAGATCACCTGCACACCCTCTGTTCACTTCCTGTTATCCTATTGCTAAATTACTTTCTCTTAAGGTCCGTAAGCTCTGTGAGGGGGTCCTCCTGCTTTTCCCAGGGCCTGACGCACACTGGACACACAGTTACCATCTCTAATATATTGGGTTTTCATGCTACCTAAGGGCTTCTAGAAAGCTCTGTACATCCAAATGAGAGAGGCTGGGTCTCCAGGGGGCACCTGTGCTCTCAGCACAGATGGAGCCCCTCTAGGAACTGGAGTCTGCTTCAGCCCTTTAGCATACACAGGCCTGCCACACTCTGGGGACAGGGCCACCTGAGTCCCTTGCCTGGTCCCATGTGTGGTGCCAGCTCCCTCCCCTGATGATTGTTCTCTCTCTTTCCCAGGACCGAGATCTCGCTCAGCAGACAGCAGCAGCACCGGAGCCTGAGCTCAGGAGGAACTCTTAACCTGGAAATGGGGAACTGTATGGAGACTTCAAACTGACTTCCTTCAAAAAACAAAAACAAAAAAATTTTTTAGCTTTGACAAACACACAAAAGTGGTAATAAAGAGAGCCCTCCTTGTCAACCCAAAATGTGAGCCCCCTGTGGCAAAACCACCCCCTACCCCATTAACAAATCAACAGACAAAATTCTCCGAGTCCTTTGCCTCTTTTGATAACATGTTGTTGTTCTGTTTTGTAAAGTGTGTGTGCTTGGGGTTCTGAGGTGTGGGATTGAGTTCTCTGCTTTTTTTTTTTTTTTTAAGATATTGTATGTAAATGTAAAAAGTTATTTAAATATATATTTTAAAGAACCCTAACCGCCAACTTTTGCTGAAAAAGAAAAAAAAAATCACTGCTGCATTAAATGAACCACATCATGTGTAGATACTGTTGTCTCCCTGGAGGGAGCTCAGGCCTTTGAAAAGCTCAGGGCTTCACCTGCCTTAGAAAATGAACCAGAAACTTGAAGTAAAGCTAGTTGATATGGGTACAGGCTCTGAGTGCAAAGCTGCCTCTTTCTTGTGGCAAATGCCAATGTATACTATTTCAGGTCTCAGATGCCATGCCCCTCCAGCCCACGCCTTTAGGCAGGTGATGGCAGCAGCTAGGAATAGGGTGTACATGATCTGCAGCCCTGCGGAGCCAGATCAAGCCGCTGCTATGAAAGCTCCAGGGTGATGGGGACAATTCTGCCCAGTGCCCTCAATCTGTCCCCTCAGCTCATGGTCCCAAGTGAAACAACAGAGTTCACAGCCCTGGTCTTGGCTGAGGTCCAGGTCATAGTAAGGGCATGTTCTTGGGACCCTCAACCTGAACTCTGACCCTCGGGGCAGGGAAGAGGAGGCTGTCCCCTTTGGTTGTCCTGACTTTGGAGTCCTTTACAAAAATGTTTGGGGCTCCCTGCCACTGGCTGCAGAAATGGCTCGACGGGGTGTGTGGGGACAGACACCCAGAAGGAATGTACTTTTGTGGCCTTGGTGTCCAACGGGGCTGGGGGAGACTGCTCTCCACTGACCCAGCAGCACACCGATGTGCAGTGCGCATGCGTCTGTGTGGGGGCAGCCACACCCCTCGGCTGCTGCTTCCTTGGGCTGCCTTTCTAGGGGCATGTGCCTGGACCTACGAGGTCTGCACTGAGCTCCATTTGAATGATACCTTCCCTATCCCGTTTCCCCATGGAAGCACCGCTTCAGGGTTATTCAGTCCTCTGCCTCATGGCTGAAACTGCTCATCTCGTCTGCAGATGTCTACTATCCTGTCTACCTAATGCACTATTATGTATTGATTCTCCATGAGACAGAGAGAGAGACTATCAGATAGTTTACACCCAAAGGGTAGGTTTTTGTATATTTTTCCAGCCTTTTTTATTAAGGGGAAGGGGAGAGTTTAAAAGCCCAAACCGTTGTGGTTTTAAGGTGTTTCATTTTTAAAAGGGAGAGAGAATCTATTTAAAGCTATTTCAGATCAGGGATTGTCATCCTTTTTGTCCAATGTATTCCTTGTTCTTTAAAAAAAAAAAATTTTAGAGGGAACTAATCATATTAGTCCTTGTGTTCACTAACTCTTCTGGTCACTTGTATTTATTCATTCATTCATCAGATATTTGTTGCCATCTGAAAGAACTGGCCCATTGGGTCTGAAAGCTCGCTTGAGAATAGGAAACTTGAGACCTGGCCCCCTGTGGGTAGGAGAACAAGGACCACCTGGATTGCCAGGTGATGGTGCTGGTCTTTCTCCAGTCTTGAACGAGAATCTCACTCTATCAGAATGTTTTTCTTAACTTCAGCGTATGATGAGGAAATTTACTTATCTCTAGCTAGGATTTGACATCTATTCCAACATCAAATGATCAAAACATTTGCCATTGAGGCTTCACTGGTGAGATCCGTCCTCCATCCTCGGGTGCAGTCCCTTGAGGGCTACTCCTCGGACTGTGCCCCGCACACCTGTTACCGAGGGTGTGAGAAGCGCCTAAGCTGGTGACATGTGATCTGGGACGCCTTCATTTCTCGGGCCAGGAGTAGCAGCTGCTAAGGACAACAGCTTGCATTACATGGTTTTAAGGAAGCGGGATCTGACTTTTAATATGAACTGCAAAAAGCAGCTTCTCATTGAGATTTTGTTGTTGTTGTTGGGGGGGGGGGTTTTTTTTGTTTTGTTTTTAATGCCTTTGAGTGCATATTTTCTTCCTCGTCTGAAACCGAACTCCCAAAGTGGCTTTCTTTAGCCCTGGCTGGAAAACCATCCCTCAATAGCCTTAAACAATAAATAGATGAGTACGGAATGTGGCTTCCACTGGGCTTATTAAAATAAGTGTGTCTAGTTTTCACTTGAACCAGTGATAACCGCAGATGGCAAAAGAAACCCGTTTAATTTTTGTAGCTTACAGGTGGTAGAAACAAAAATGCAATTTTAAAACCTTAAATACCAAATACCAACCATTGTCTTTGTTTGTTTGTTTGTTTGTTTGTTTGTTTGTTTTTTGAGACGGAGTTTCGCTCTTGTTGCCCAGGGTGGAGTGCAGTGGCGCAACCTCAGCTTACCGCAACTTCCGCCTCCCGAGTCCAAGTGATTCTTCTGCCTCAGCCTCCCAAGTAGCTGGGATTACAGGCATGCACCACCATGCCCGACTAATTTTGTATTTTTAGTAGAGACGAGGTTTCTCCATGTTGGTCAGGCTAGTCTTGAATTTCCGACCTCAGGTGATCCACCCGCCTCGGCCTCCCAAAGTGCTGGAATTACAGACGTGAGCCACCGTGCTGGTAACACCAACCATTGTCTTTTAAATTTGTGTTCGCCTCTCAGACAGGGAGATCACCAGAATAAAATAACCAATGGTCTTATTTTTTTCACACATAAATCAAAACAAATGTCCTCTTTGAAGTTTTAAGATTCCACCAATGACAGATACCCTTTTAGGTGGACTCTTGAGTGGTTTGTAGTGGTTTTATAGCCATGGAAACTGGGAGTGTCTCATTTTCTACTGAGAACCCCTGCCCCCAATCCCTCTAAGTTGGGGTGTGACAGTTGGGCATGGTTAAGTGACCCAGCCCTGGGTGTAGGACAGCCATGTACAGTGAAGAGTTCTAGAACCAGCTAAACGTGGAAGTTTGGGTATTTACCAACAAGGTACCTCTTTACGGATGCAGCCCCAGTAAGCTGGCTTTAACCTCAGCTCCTTCCCCATCTCCTAAACCCAAGCCCTTTTATAAAATAAAGCCCCATCTGTCCCACTGCTCACATATTTATGTGCTGCTAGTCTCTACTCGAAGTTTGTGCAGAACTAATGCTTTTAAAATGAGGTCTAAAAAAAAATTACTAATCGAGAATATTATTCTTTAAACAGAACTGCCTTTTTCTACTCTTTATGTAAACTCTATTGTGTTGGTCTAACAAGGCACTATTTTAAAATTTTTTAATTTCTCCCATAGCACTTAAAAGAGATTTTGTAAAGACTTTGCTGTAAAGATTTTGTAATAAAATGGTCTAAGGGCTCTTTTTCCAACATTACCATTTTTAAAAAATGTTTTAAAAGCTAGAAAACAACTTATGTATATTCTGTATATGTATAGCAGCACATTTCATTTATGGAAATATGTTCTCAGAATATTTATTTACTAATATATTTATCTTAAGCCATGTCTTATGTTGAGAGTGTGACATTGTTGGAATAATCATTGAAAATGACTAACACAAGACCCTGTAAATACATGATAATTGCACACAGATTTTACATATTTGCAGACCAAAAATGATTTAAAACAAGTTGTAGTCTTCTATGGTTTTGTAACAAATTGTACAAATGACTGTAAAAAAAAAATACAATTTTATCAAGTATGTGTTATATGTTGTCATTGCTCTGTTCAGTAAAAGTCTACAGATTCAACAAGGGGAAGTTCGCATGGGGCAGTACTTTTAACTTCTACTTGCCCATGGAAGCGTTCATACAACTTTCTCTCCTGTTAATATAGAATCCAGGTTATTGGGGGTTTAGGCAGTGTCACAGGAGAGCATCTGTTATAGGGTGTGTGGGTTTATATCCTTGTGAGAATGGTAGGCTTTCTGCTCAGCCCTATGTAGAAGGAGCTAGGGAGAGTGATAGTAATTGAGCCTAGTGGTCCACTTTTTAAAAATCGGGAACCATATGGCCAGCCATGGGAGCTCATACCTATAATCCCAGCTATTCAGGAGGTTGAGGCAGGAGGATCTCTTGAGGTAGGAGTTGGAGACCAGCCTCAGCAACATAGTGAGACCCCATCTCTCTACTAAGAGAAAAAAAAGGCTATACATGTTGGGGTCCACATGTAGTCTTAGCTACTCAGGAGGCTGAGGCAGGAGGATTGCTTGAGCCCAGGAAGTTGAGACTGCAGTAAGCTATGATCATGCCACTGCACTCCAGCCTGGGCAACAGAGCTGTCTTAAAAGAAAGAAAAGAAAGGAAAAGAAGAAAGGAAATAGGGAACCATAGCCTGAATGTAAAACATCTGCTTTATCTGTCAGGCCTTTTCCTACCTGGAAGACTAACAGACCCTCAAGGCCTTGGAGGAAAAAATACTCCCAGCATCTACCCCTCAAAATTACCTAATCATGAGTGGAAAGGGACCGTTGGTCTTGAGCGAATCTAGTTCCTCTTTGTTTCCCTGAGAGGGTGTCGCTAATTTGTAAAGCACTCAGATGACAGGGAAGGTGCAAAGTTGTGTTTATTTTTCAGATCTCTAGCAGAGAATACCCTAATCCCATGAGTTCCTGTTCCTATTTTTTGCTCTTTAACTTGGGCCATTTATTGAGTACAGGCTCCTCGTGGACACCTGGCCGCTTCCTGCCAGGGAACCGGTCCTTCTGAGCACCTTCAGAGATGGCACCCTGACTGCACAGAGCCTCCCAGAGCTTTTGTTTAATGGCCTTGCCCAACTCCAGGCTGTACCTCTTGGGGGTCCCTGAAGGATTCCACAGCATTGGCTCTACCACAGCGTGGTACAGAGCCTGGTAACCCTCTGTGGGGAGACCGTGGATGGTGAGCGTGTCCTCCGACAACTGCTGTCTCTTTTGGGTTTCAGGAAGCAACACTGGGCCCTTCCAGGCTGCTGTCCCACTGTCTTGGGGTAGTGCTTGGGTGGCAGCCACATGTTCAGCATATCTGTCCTCAAGATCTTGGCGGACTGTTAGTTTTTTCTCCTTTGAACTTTCTTTACTCTAGCCAGGGAGAAAGCAGAGAAGTCAAAGCTAAAACTTGAGAGGGGAGCTCAGAATAATTATCTGGGATTTGTGTCCCAGCGTCTTGGTTGCAGCAACAACCAACATTTGTCTAGCATGTTCTAGTTTACTGAATTCCTTTATGTACATACCACTGCGTGTGTTCTCCATAACCCTGTGAGGTCAGCAGGAGACAGCTTTAAAGGCAAAGAAATTGGAATTGGTTTGCCCAAGGCCACACAGCTAGAAGGTTAATAACCACAGCTGTCATCTATTGAATACCACGCAAGATGTTAATTATTTACCCTCTGCCAGGCTCTGTTCAAAAGCCTTTTGCATGTATTGACTTATTTAATCTTCATGAAGCCCTATGAGGGAAAGGCCATTATCCTCCATTTCATATGATAATATCAAGGCACAAAGAAATTAAGCCCGAGGTCGTCCTCAGTTATAGTCAGAGTTGGGATTTGAATCTTGATGGCCTAGCTCCAGGGTACACTGAGCTCTGCTGGCCACCATGGGGTAACAGACCTGGACTCCAATCAGGCCTTCGTAGGAGAAGTTCTCCATGTGGACGCTCGCAATCCAAATCTATAGCCGACCACTGGTGTGTGTGTGTGTGTGCGCCTGCGCGCACAAGCACGCACTACCCATATCCTAGCCTTCCTTCTCACCCTTATTTTTCCTTCATGTCAAGTCTGTGGTTGTGAAAGCCATCTCATCCTTCTCTAGAACTAAGCATAGTATAAATGATATGGTATAAATGATAAATAGCATGACCCCACAATCAGGGGCATTCTTCCACTCTAACATGCTACACCTCCTCCCCACATTCTGTCTTCAACTTTAGGATTTCCTTCACTTGGTATTGATCTTTGTTTTTGTTTTTTTTGTCTTTTTTTTTTTTGTTTTTTGAGACAGAGTCTTGCTCTGTTGCCCAATCAGGAATGCAGTAGTGCAATCATGGCTCACTGCAGCCTTAACCTCCTGGGCTTAAGTAATCCTCCCTCCTTAACCTCCCAAGTAGCTGGGATCACAGGCATGTGCCATCATGCCTGGCTACTTTTTTTTTTTTTTAGTAGAGATGAGGTCTCCCTATGTTGCCCAGGCTGGTCTTGAACTCTCTGAGCTCAAGCGATCCTCCCTGCTTGGCCTCCCAAAGTACTGAGATTACAGGCGGTAGCCGCATGCCATATAATCTCAACCGTTAGTGTTCTCTGGCTTTATCTTTTCCCTCCCCTTGCCCGTCACATTTTCCCCACCACTGGTCCTTGTCTACCTCTCTAATGCCTCCTGCAGGCCTCCTGTGCCCTGCTGGCTGCTTGCTCTTGGAACTGATGGATTTTCTTTTCCTGGCCTGCTGGGTGGCTTTCATCACTGAATCGTCCTTGTGCTTTAATCTCTTCGAGAGTTTTGCTTCTCCACACTTGCGTGGTGCTGGGCAGCACTTATTCTTCAGTTGCCGCCTGAGTACAAGCTTAACCAGGGAGAAGGAATTGGCAATTAATGGGTTCCTTACAACTTCCCAAGAGGAAGTGGTAGCTGGTGCTGTGGTGTTAATGTTCTGCTTTGCACACGTTCTGGCCATCCAGATGTTGGTGAGAGCTGGTGAGTCCACATAGCAGTCCTGAAGCCTGGTATTTAATAAGATGGACTGTCGGAGTCCATAGATAGGGATGCTGGGGTCTTGTCTCACATTGATTGGGTGCTAGAATTATAAGAGGGAGAAATGAATTTTAAAAGGACCGTTCTTCAGCAGAGAATAAAAGATCTACTTTGAAGGCAAAATGTTAACATCTTTTTTTTTTTTTTTTTTAAGACGGAGTCTCGCTCTGTCGCCCAGGCTGGAGTGCAGTGGCGTGATCTCAGCTCACTGCAAGCTCCGCCTCCCAGGTTTACGCCATTCTCCTGCCTCAGCCTCCCAAGTAGCTGGGACTACAGGCGCCCACCACCTCGCCCGGCTAGTTTTTTGTATTTTTTAGTAGAGACGGGGTTTCACCATGCTAGCCAGGATGGTCTCGATCTCCTGACCTCGTGATCCGCCCGTCTCGGCCTCCCAAAGTGCTGGGATTACAGGCTTGAGCCACCGCGCCCGGCCTAACATCTTTTTATAGGCCATTCCTTCTACCCAGTTCTTAGAATTTTACTATATGTCCTCTCCTGCTCACTAAAGCCTTTTATACCAAGTAGGGAGGAGATAGTAATTCCACAAGGTTACAGTAATATTCAGGCTCTCAAAGAACATAGCATGCTGGGGCAGGAAGTCAGGGGTCAGGGAGGGTTCACAAGGAATTGAAGACAATTCCTGCCTGCTGGAAAATATGGAAGGGAGGGTCACTCAAGACTTCATATGAGCTGTAGACACTCAACTATGCTGCAACACAGACATGACAGCCAGTAAGTTCTGCCAAACCCTGAATACGCTTTATGCTTTCTTTTTTATGGTGGGGGGGGGGTGCGGGTATGGAGTTTAGCTCTTGTTGCCTAGGCTGGAGTGCAATGGCGCGATCTCGGCTCACCGCAACCTCCGCCTCCCGGGTTCAAGTGATTCTCCTGCCTCAGCCTCCCAAGTAGCTGGGATTACAGGTATGCGCCACCATGCCCAGCTAATTTTGTATTTTTAGTAGAGACGGGGTTTCTCCATATTGGTCAGGCTAGTCTCGAACTCACGACCTCAGATGATCTGCCTGCCTCAACCTCCCAAAGTGCTGGGATTACAAGTGTGATCCACCACGCCCGGCTGAATACACTTTCTAACCAACGGCCATGCACCAAGAAGAGCTCATTCACAGGGAAATCAATATCCTTTGGGGACCATAAAAGCAATATGAAAACATTAATGCTGCCGGCCTCCATTTCCTGGGGCCAACTAAGAGCAACAGAACAATTTGGATAGATCAGAATCACATATTTAAAGAGACCTGGCTTTCTTAGAAATGTCATCTATAGAAATAAAATCACCTTACCATATTTCAGTTGCCTTAAATTTTATTTTCGCTAGCTTAGTAGGGGGAAGAAATATGTATTTTCTCTTTCCCTTTTCTCTCTCTCTGTTTTTTTTGTTTGTTTGTTTTGTTTTGTTTTAATATTTCTAGTCACCTGTCTTTCTCTGCCTCAGTCACGTATGGGCAAATTGCTGTTTGTTTAGATTTGGGCTTAATGCTGGCAGCTTTGAGCCATTATCTCTAGTATTTGTGATGTCACTTTGGTTTGTGATGTGGGTGTGGGTGGGTGTTACATCATCAGACTTTATAGTTAAATTATGTGAGAAGAAGTTCTATATGGTTTTGCTTCTAGCCTCAGAAACTTCTGAAGTCCCCATTTCCCCCAAAATGGCTTGGATGAATTTTGAAGATCTTCATGTTCTTATGAAGTATGTTTTGCAGGAAATGTAGTCAAATGTGCAGACCAGATTTGGGGATACAGGTAGTGAGATGCATCCCTACATGTGCAAAAGTGCCCTCCTTCATGTACATAAAGGAGGCACTGTTAAGTTCTCAGAATAGCTGCCAAGGTTAGGGACCAGAAATGAAAGAACACGTTCCTGCAGCCCTGGGCACCTTTCCCTGTGTGTCTCTCCCAGGAAGACTACATGGTTTCTGGAATGTGGTTTTATTTTACATCCCATGGCAAATGCAGTAATTAGAGCTGTTAGCAGTGTCAAGGGCTTGAAACGAGAACAAAGCCGCCTCTTCCTGGGAACTCTTGGGCAATGCCTCACTCCTTATCAGGTGCTCGTCCTGTTGGTGGGTTTGATTTTTTTATTTGTAAAATGCCTCGGGAGCCTCCCTCCTGAGGGGGAGGAGAGTGAAATGATGGAAAAACAGAGTATGAATCTGGCAGGGGCTCCTGGAATCGCATGTGTTGCCTGTTGGAGTTTTTAAGTGTTGTCCCTGGAGTGAATCAAAGCCTGCAGGCGGACCGCACCACAGGCTGTGGTGGAACCACCTCCAGGCCTACGGCAGCTGGACCCACAGACACTTGGGAGGACAATGGTTTCCTTTCAGTAGCGAGCCCTGGCCTCACCTCCTAAGAGCTGGGTCGGTTTTAGAGCAGGGCTTTGGAAAGGGTTTGTCTTTGGGAAGAGTTTGCGAATGTCTGGAGACTGGACAGGCAAGCATCTTTTCAAAGCTGGTCAATCTTGGAAAAATGGCACGGGGCTCCTGGGCTACCTGGAAATTACCATCTGTCTTTACACTGCAAAGCAGGGACAGGAGGGAAATGTCAAGCAAAAAAAAAAAAAAAAAAAAAAAAAAAAAAAAAAAGGCATAATAGGAATACGTCATCTGTTTCTCTTTTCTCCTTCCCCATCTTGAGTTTGGCTTTCCTGCACCTCATCTTTCCAGACGCTCATCTGTTAGATTTACTTTGCTAGGTCTTTTACTCAATGACTCTGCTAGGTCTTTTACTCACTCTGTCTGCAGGCTGGAGTGCAGTGGTGTGATCTCAGCTCACTGCAACCTCCGCCTCCTGGGGTTCAAGCAATTCTCGTCCTCAGCTACCCAAGAAGCTGGGATTACAGGCGCGTACCACCAAGCCCAGCGAATTTCTGTATTTTTAGTAGAGATGAGTTTTCATCATGTTGGCCCAGCTGTTCTCAAACTCCTGGTCTCAAGTGATCCACCCACCTTGGCCTCCCAAAGTGCTGGGATTACAGGCGTGAGCCTGTGCCCAGCCTCAATCTCCTTCTTCCAGCACAGAGCTGTTCACATGGGCAGTACTTGATACATTCTCTTCAAGTTCAGTCAAATTCTGCCTTCTTTGCCTTCATTGTAACTCACTTCAATTGACTATGCCACAACAGGTAACCCTCTCAGCCTTCCTTTTTTTTTTTTTTTTTTTTTTTTTTTTGAGACAGAGTCTCGCTCTGTCGCCCGGGCTAGAGTGCAGTGGCCGGATCTCAGCTCACTGCAAGCTCCGCCTCCCGGGTTTACGCCATTCTCCTGCCTCAGCCTCCCGAATAGCTGGGACTACAGGCGCCCGCCACCTCGCCCAGCTAGTTTTTTGTATTTTTTTAGTAGAGACGGGGTTTCACCGTGTTAGCCAGGATGGTCTCGATCTCCTGACCTCGTGATCCGCCCGCCTCGGCCTCCCAGAGTGCTGGGATTACAGGCTTGAGCCACCGCGCCCGGCCTCAGCCTTCCTTAAAACTAACCCAGGGTACCTTGGTCTAACCTATTTCTCCTATGTCAATAAAACTAGTATTTATTGAATCCTTCCTGAAGGCCAGGCACTGTTCTAGCCACTTTATTAGCATCATGTCATGAAATACTACCAACAGTCCTATGAATTTGAGTACTATTACCTGTTTTACAGATAAAGAAACTGAGGCACAAATTGCTCAATTATCATGCCCCAAGTAACCAACAAAGGCTGAACCCAACCCAACCAAAGTCTACAATGCCCTTTATAACGCTCTTGGGGTTTTTTTTGTTTTTTTTTTTTAAGTTTCACTCTTGTTGCCCAGGCGGCTGGAGTGCAGTGGCACGATCTTGGCTCACTGCAACCTCCACTTCCTGGATTCAAGGGATTCTCCTGCCTCAGCCTCCCGAGTAGCTTGGATTACAGGCACGCACTACCATGCCTGTCTAATTTTTGTATTTTTAGTAGAGATGGGGTTTCACCATGTTGGCCAGGCTAGTCTCAAACTCCTGACCTCGGGTGATCCACCCACCTTGGCCTCCCAAAGTGCTGGGATTACAGGAATGAATCACCACACCCAGCCCTACTATCCTTGTTCTTAAACAGTTATCACCGTGATGCCTGGCCTCGCTGTTAGTCAGCCTATCCATCTACCATACCCAGGCCCAGTTCTAGTCCTGTCCTTGTCATGAGACTTTCTCTAGGCTCGTGAGAGAGTCTGCCTGTGTTGGCATCCCAGATCCATCTTTCATTAGGCAAGTGAATTCATACCCGTGAACCTTAATTTCCTCAGCTGTGAAATGGGCCTAGTTATAGTGCCTACCTAAGGATTATTGTGAGGGTGAAGTGGGACAATTCATCTGAAGTACTTGGCATGGCTCCTGGTGTATAGTAAGCATTCAATAAATATTTGCTTTTTTGTATTTTTGTTTTTGTGTTGAGACAGGGTCTTAGTCTGTCACCTAGGCTGGAGTGTAGTGGTGTGATCATGGTTAATGGGAGCGTCGACCTCCTGGGCTCAAGCAGTCCTCCCACTTTAGCCTCCCAAGTAGCTGGGATCACAGGCTTGTGCCACCATGCCCGGCTAATTTTTTTTTTTTTTTCTGTAGAGATGAGGTCTCCCTATGTTGCTCAGCTTAGTCTGGAACTCCTGGGCTCAAGTGATCCTCCCAAAGTGCTGGGACTACAGCTGTGAACCAACACACCCATCCCATGTGAACGTTATTATTTATTTATTTATTTATTTATTTTGAGACAGAGTCTCAATCTGTCACCCAGGCTGGAGTGCAGTGGCACATTTCTCAGCTCACTGCAACCTCTGCCTCCCAGGTTCAAGCAATTCTCCTGCCTCAGCCTCCCAAGTAGCTGGGATTACAGGTGCCTGCCACCACACCCGGCTAATTTTTATATTTTTAGCATAGACAAGGTTTCACCACGTTGGCCAGGCTGGTGTTGAACTCCTGACCTCGTGATCTACCCACCTTCATCTCCCAAAGTGCTAGGATTTCAGGCGTGAGCCACCGGGGCGCCTGACCATGTGAATGTTATTAATATTATGGT